CTGTGGTGGTGAATAGAGTGAATGATTATAAGAAGAACCACTTCATTAAAGAGATCCCACTAGAGAGGAGAACCCCAACAGCATCTCAGTAATGAGGATGTCCACAGCCTCCCACTGCAGTCCGGCCCACAACTACAGCAACATCTGCTCTGTGGCACCCAACACATCAGGTGGGATCCGCTCTGTTTGAACAAACACAGGAGGCATATGTATGCATATGTACGAGTTAGAGTAACTAGGGAGACTGGTGAGGGTATGAGTAGTGCCTTGAGGCGAGGAGCAGAAGGGTGGCAGGGTTTCTGACACGCCGTGGACTGTTTAGACGCAAGCCTCTATGACTCATCTACGTGTCACTAATGCTTTTCCTATGAATGAACAAACAGATACACTGTGGAGAGGCATTGCTATCACCACAGGGGGAAGAGTAAGTGTGAGTAGCCTGTGAGACTAGGATGAGACACCCTTAGTCATACTCCTTCCTGTCTGAGGAGCTAGAGTTGCTGTACATTTACAAGTAATCGATCTAAAAAAAAATGAAACAGATCAAAACCAGCTGTCTTTTATATGGCTGGAATCATACAGTGTGGTGCCAGTGGATGAGCCGTGATGTATCCATGCACCTGTTGTCTGGCACGTCCCTCTCATCTTATGTAGACTCTCCTCATTTGGGCTCATCTCCTGCAGCAGCAGCTGTGAATATGTGCACCTTGTTAGGCAGTTGACAGTTCTGGCAGAAGGAGAGACGGGGAAGTAGCTTGTTATGAAGAACAGGCTAACTATATGTCAATCTCTGCCGTGCAGAGAAGAAACAAAAACAAAGATGTGCAAAAAAATCCTTTTAATCTCAGCCTAAATTAATTCTTAAAGCAAGCTACGTTGTATTTATTTAAATATTTGAGTCCACTAAACTAAAAGCTAATTGACCCCAGCCATTTTTTTTTGCTAATACACTGCACTGCTGATTAGATACCAAAAAATGAGATTTGCCTGAGAAACATGTGGACAGCCTGATTATGATGATCTGCCCCACTGTGATCCCCATTTACCGCTTATCCAGCTCAATCATATCTGTGCTGTAATTACACTGCATTCAAAATGCTAGCAGATTCAGCAAACCTCTGAGCAGCATTATACACTTACAGTGATTGGGCTGTCTGCAGGCCTGATTATTATAGCCCTGCGTGATGCTTTAAAAAAAATAAAAAGGATGAGAGCTGGGGTCACCGAGAAAGCAGCAGAGCTAATTCGGGATTTCACAGCACAATATTTATTTCTATGATCAACCTGTTTGATAGACCTGCTTATGCTTTAAAATAATGCACTGCGTCGAATTAGACTGGTAAGAGTAAGAACAAGTGTTCAGATGATATTTTGTGCAGTGTTAACATTTTTACAACATCCTATACTTTCTTACACTGTGGCAGCCGACAGCCAGTAATCTTTAGAAATAGTCATTTATTTGATCTTCAAATAGTTTCATTTAAGCTTTTAAACACGTTTTATGCTGCATTGATTTCTTAACAAAAGGAGAACTCACTCATTCACACTCACTTATGTCAAAATTGCCAAAATCCCAAGTTAATTATTAAATCAAACATGTACAATTTTGAAACCCTGTAAAAACAGAAAGCACTTTTTTAATTCCACATGGTTACCATCTACTTACTTTCTTTTTAGATGACTGTGCACTAAATATATTTTCACCTGCTGGTCAGGTAAAATCAGACATTTACATATCTGATGTCAGGCTCGAGGAAAGTTTGACTGCCTGTAAAAAAAGAAAAGAAAAAAAAAACAGTGAGTTTAAAGCAGATTAATCAATAAGAAAAACATAATTTGCTACAATATAATTTACTTTAGAGAACAAAACTATGAGAATTTAATAAATATATATTAAATTCATCGTGGTAATTAGTTGGCATAATGTTACATTTAGATGTGCATCTGTGCTTAGACGTCGATGTTTGTTGTTGAGGCTGAGGAGGAGGGCTTGCATTTGAGACAATGTGGAGCAGTCTCCTCCTCTCATCAGCTGTAATGATCAGAGCTGTGAGGATTAAGTACCGATGTCCCAGTAAAGGAGCTTTGCAATGCCAAATGTAGGACCACTGGCTCCCCTAAGCTGTCTAATTTGCTCATCCACCAGATGCTACAGCTCTCTTAGATTGGATTAAGGGCACAAAAAGAGTGTTGAGCGCCTTGTTGTGGGCAAAAGTGGAACTGCAGGGAGAGGCTTTAGGACCAGATTAGAAACATTGAATTGGATATAAGACAGGTACATTATTAAAAATACACTTTATAAAAGTCATGAATGGGTATTTTGTGTAATTTACATTCTTTGATGAATCACTTTTGGTCTTTTTTACCAATGAGTCTTTATCTGATGGAACCTGATCTCTACGAAACCGAAGATTAAATAAAAGGAGTCTTTTCCATTAGATCTGTTTGATCTGATCATCATTACAACTCTTTAGCTAAAACTTTTCATTTGTAATTGGTATACTTTTTAACGTGTTTACAAATTTACAAGTATATTGTGGCTTTAAATGACATAAAGCTCCACTTCTCATTAGAAGACTTCATAAACAAAACCAGGTAGAGAGCCCTAAAAAGTTGTTAAACTCTTCAGTCAAAGGATATATAACATACCTCCTGATTTTCTGCATTAAGGGGTTAGTAGGCTACCAGACAAATGATGCATTAAAGCTTCGTCCTGTTTTTAAAACTCTCAGGGTAAGGAAATACCCCAAGGTCCAGGGAAGAAGAAATAGGAATTGTGCTTAAATGGGTCATTCACAAGACCCAGTGCATGACAAGCAGTCCACCGGAAAGATAAATTTTTGTGGTCACAGTAGTTTCCCACATTATTAAGGCTAATATAACTATAGCGATTAACTTCAATGAGGGTGTGAGACAAGCATGGGTGGGGGACAGGGAAAAGAGCCGAACATGTGACACTACTGTGCACTCATGAGGTATTCAGTGTGAGACACTGGTTGTCTGTGTGTGGAAACAGGCAGCATGGAGAAGACCTGTGACAGCGATCTTGCCTTCCTTTCTTACTCTTTCTCCCCATATGCTGTCAGTGCCGAACCGAAGCCGTCTCAGCTGAAACATGCAAGTAAAGCTTTCTAACTTGGGGAATGAAGTCTTGCAAAGTTGAAATGCATACACAAAAGTTTTGTTCCCTAATACTGTAGTGAACAGTTCACAAGTTGGTGGGTGGATATATATCAAATTATAACTTGTTTGACAAAGACAGTTTCTGTAGTTTTTCCATGTGTACGCCACCATCATGGGTTTTAAACCAATATTAAGTCTTTGCGAGGGCAGACTTTCAGCTTTATTTAAAAGTTGTTGGTTTTTTTCAAAAATGTCATTGTTTAGGAAATACAGCAGTTTTTATACACTTTCCCCCATTGTAATGGGGACAAACACAATTGGACATTTGATCGACAGGCAGTTTCATTGCCAATTGAGGCCTATTCCCTCGTTATTTCATGACAAATGAAGTAGACATAATGCTCCACGTTTACCCAAAGTATTCACTCACCCATCCAAATCATTCAATTCAGGTGTTCCAATCACTTCCATGGCCACAGGTGTGCAAAATCAAGCACTTAGGCATGCAGACAGCTTCCAGCGCGGTACCGTGATTGGATGCCACCTGTGCATCAAGTCCAGTTGTGAAATTTCCTCAGTACTAAATATTCCACAGTCAACTATTGGTGGTATTTTAACCACTAAAAGCGAAAGTAATAGGCCACATAAAATCAGAGGGTGGGGTCAGCAGATGCTGAGGTGCATAGTACACAGACGTTTCTGCAGAGGCAATCACTACAGACATTTAAACTTGTGTTCTTTAGAATAAATCAAGAACAGTGCATAGAGAGCTTGATGGAATGGATTTTCATGGTCAAGGAGCTGCATTCGAGTCTAACATCATTAAGTCCAATGCAAAGTGTGGAATGCAACAGTGTAGAGCACCCCACCACTGGACTCAGATCAGTAGACACTGGCAATCTGATGGACAAGCATGGGTTTAGCCATTGCCAGGAGAACGGTAGTCATCTAACATGGATGAGAGAGCTTGGTGTGGAAGAGTTTCAAAGCCATTATAGCTGCAAATGGTACACTGACATTATATTAAACGCTATGGATGAAGAATGGGACGTGGCTCAATTTCATATATGTGTGAAGGTAGAAGATGAAACACTTTGTAATATAGTGCATCTGAACATGATTCAAGTGTTGGATTTGTGTTTCATAGCTTTTAATTGTAATTTAAAATATGGGAAGCCATCATTAGCCTGCAAAAAAACAAACAAACCCTAAAACCTAAGAGAGATAGGAAGAACTTCAGGATTGGCCAAATCAACAGTAAGGTTCATCTTAAAAAGAACGAATGCATTGAGTAGCTCAGCAACACTACAAGGCCTGAAAGACCACAGAAGAAAAATAAAGTGAATGATAGGATTATTTCAATGCTTAAGAAAACATCTAACCAATAGGACTTGAAGAGGCAGGCGTCTCAACCAACCAAGAGATGCCCTCATGAACGTAAATACAGAGAGTTTGCATGGTGCAAACCACTGGTTACACTCAGAACAAGATTATACACATAGCATACTTGGAGTGTGGTGTGCTAATAAAAGATACTGGACATGTTACCATTTATTCAGAGGCTTATAACCACAAATCATTTTGACCATTTTCTCAAGTGTGGTGTTAAAAATACAAAAATAACTAGACATCATGGGCTTTCCAATGCATAAGGCTGAGTACTTACAGGTATTTTTATTGTAGACTTTCAGATATACACATAAGTTAAACAATGGAATTAAGACTTCTAGTGAAAGCCTAGTTTCAGCGTCCTCAACACTGGTATAACTTGAACTGAGTCATCTTTGTAGAATATCTTCACAAAGCCCTTACAAACATGGGTGGAGCAATAAACGAAGATATAAAAATGATGCTGTAAATTCAGACATTACCGACAAGACATTTTATAATAAACCTTTCCATAACTAGGCAGAGGCTCAAGCTGCTGGGAGGAAACAAGAATAGTGTCTTACACAATTAATTTGAACACATAAGACCTTAAAACTCGCAATGACCAACATATCAAAAACTCAATCCATATTCAAAAACAAGGCTTCAGTCTTTGGCCTAAATGCGCCTATTGCTCCCCGAGCAGGCAGTGAGCCACAGTTGTGTCTAATGGGTGAAGGTCCGACCACCAGGAACTCACCGACATCACCTCCACTAGGCCTGGCTCCAGGGTGGTGCTCCAGTATCCCATCCCTGGTAAGGTAACTGGGTCTCTGTTGCTCCCTACCTATAACCCATTTACCTTAGGAGACCCTACCAAGGGGAAGTTACCTTTGTAACTCCATGGGTTACTCAGGCACCAACTCATAACATAGCAGTATCTGCATGGGGGGGAGAGAGACGAGAGTTTGTTTTGAAATCCAGGAAAGCAGTGGAGTCTAATACAAACGTGCATTAGGATTCACCACAAAGATTACTGAAAATTATAAGCATCTTGTGACCCTTCACACCTTCTCAGAGGTCTGTAACACAAAGGATTTATTTTAGCCCTGATTCCCAGTGTTATGAGGGTTACACTTTATTGTTTCATTACCATAATGACTTATTCTGCAGATCCAGCTGCTTCATGTAGGTCATGTTTGAGTCACGAGAAACATGCATGAAACCACCTACAGGCCAGTTTTTCAGAGAACGGTATTATACCTCCTGGGAGATCTCTCAGATATCAGTGTGCAGACACCATAAGGGTCCAGTTGTTAGAATCTAAAGTTAGTGTGTCCCTGATGGAGCGCGGTAAGGAAAGGAGATTTTATTTCTTGCATTTTTCTCCTCCTTTGAAAGCAATATCTTTATAAGCCACCTCCTTACTCACCACTAAACAGTTTAACACAGCTGATGTTGCAGCTGAAACTATGTAGCTTGCATGCCATGAGAAAAAAAAAACAATTTAAAAGAACATAAACCTGTAATTCTTCTTAGGCCTTAGTCTTACTCACCAGACTAAGGCGAGTACTATGCTTTAGCAAATAGTTGGGTTTAAATGGACTAATACTTAGAGCACTGTTCCAGTTAAACACATTCATAAAGTGTTGATTACCAAAGGAAAGCTTAAATACTGTATTACACTGCTGTATTACACGGCTGAATGGCTCGTATTCATGCTTGGGAAAGCTTACAGTTTCTCATCCAGGTGATAACCACAATGGTGTAACATCAGGGTAAGTGAACCAGGTTGTAGTACAGGCCCCAGGTGACAGGGACAAACACATAACAAGAAGCTAACCCACATACACTACGTTGAACTAATATGTAAAGTTAACCTTTGTTAAGACACATTTAATTACATAACTGGACACCAGGAGCCAAGATACAGGGCACAGGTGTTTTATACTCTGGCCATGATGAGGAAGTTGGTTAGGGGAGGAATCAGAACTGAGGCTGTGTTAACTAATACTAGTCACTACATAAATGTGGAGCTGCACAGCAATCCCAATAACAGGATTTAAAGGGTGTTTAAAATTGGAAAAAAGACACCACAATAACATTTTAAAAGTAGATAGATAGATAGATAGATAGATAGATAGATAGATAGATAGATAGATAGATAGATAGATAGATAGATAGATAGATAGATAGATAGATAGATAGATAGATAGATAGATTACCACAAAAAGACAACAAAAGGTTTCGGGTAGATGACAGAAAAAACAATTTGTTCTGATCACATAAGTGAAGCAAAATCTGTGGAGCAGTGTGGGGAAATCTAATTACAGTCTTTTAAAAATGGGCACATGCCCCCCAGTGCTATCAGTCCGGTTTACAGCAGTCCAAGTTGTGAAAGGAAGTCATGCATCGTGGAATCACATCACTCAGCCTGATACCAGGAGTAAAGGATGTGGTAAAAACCTACAGCTCGGCAACTGCGCCTTCAAAATAAACCACTATTCGACTGGCTTTGAATTAGATGAGACACAAATGTCTTTACATCTGTCTAATAATAAACCC